TACTCAAAAATGTTTATCTGTCGTCATTATAATCAGAGTAAGTTTGGCTGAGTATAAAATTATATCACACTTTTTTTTCCTCTAAGGGCGTTGTGGTCTGTGTTCTTTTGTCTATTATTGAATGGTACTGTTTGGAAATCTAAAGTCAGCCTCATTTACCCTGCTGGGTCCCTAACCCCAAAATAGATTGTTTAACTTATTTGCTTAGGTATCTAAAGGATTTTTTCTTTCTCGTGAGCCTTAAAGTCTGGTAATTTTTCTAGGATATGTGTTGGTATTGCTAACTCTGTATCTTTTCCTAGGAACTTAGTGAGCCTTCTATTTCTGGAAAGTTATCTTGAATCGTATCTTTGAGTATTTCTTTATTCTAATCCTTTGGTTCTCTTATTCAGAATCTTGTTATATGTAAGGGGGTCTTCATTATTGACCTCTCTTATGTTTACTACTTTTTCTTTACTTTTTAACACTTCTTGCTCCTTTCCATTTCATTTGTTTATTGAGATATAGTTCACATACTATAAAATTCACTCTTAGAACTCAGTGGTTTTTAGTGTATTGGCAGTTGTACAACCATGACCACTATCTCATTCCTGAATTTAGTTTAATTTTGCCTGCTTTTTTCAGACTTGCTTTCTTTATCCCTTTCTCTCCTTCTCTGTATCATTGAAGCATATAATAGCAGTTTGTTTCATAATTACTAGTATTAACTTTGGTCACTTCCTTAAGGAGGTATCTGTCAGATTTCTTCATTGTGCTGTTACTGTTTTGTCCATTCATAATCTGATATTTGATATCATTATCAAAGGCAATTGATAATTTGTGGGGAAGCACTTTGTGCTATGTAAATATCCTGGTTTTTTTTTTAAACGAAGTTTTGCTCTGTTGCCAGGCTGGAGTGCAGTGGCACGATTTTGGCTCACTGCAACCTCTACCTTCTGGGTTAAAGGGATTCTCTTGCCTCACCTTCCCAAGTAGCTGGGACTACAGGTGTATGCCACCACACCTAGCAAATTTTTGTATTTTTAGTAGAGATGGGGTTTCACCATGTTGGCCAGGATGGTCTTGATCCCTTGACCTCAAGGGATCCATTTGCCTTGGCCTCCCAAAGTGTTGGGATTACAGGCGTGAGCCACTGTGCCCAGCGTGTTTTGTTTTTTTTTTTTTCCTGAGACAAGGTCTCACTCTGTTGTCCAGACAGGAGTGCAGTGGGTTGATCTCCGCTCACTGCAACTCTGCCTCCCAGGTTCAAGCAATTCTCCCAGCTCTGCCTCCCTAGTAGCTGGGACTAAAGGCATGTGTACCACCATGCTTGGCTAATTTTTGTATTTTCAATAGAGATGGGGTTTCACCATGTTGGCCAACTCCTGACCTCAAGTGATCTGTCTGCCTTGGCCTCCCAAAGTGTTGAGATTATGGGTATGAGCCTCTGTGCCCTGCCTGATATCCTGGTTTTCAACAAACTTGCTCATTATTTTTAGCATCCATTGATAATTCTTAATTGAATCAGTTATTAGCATGGTGATTGTCAAATGTAATTTTCTAACTCCTTCATTCCTTCTACATTTTAGTATGGCCTCATATATTTTATTCTAATGGCTATCATCCCTTGTTAGCAGTCTTCATTCACTTTGACTTAGATGTGGCCAATGGGAGCCCCATCCAGCTGGTTCCAGTGTACTTTTTATTTGTTCCTATATTCCTTTTAGCATGTCCTGACTTCTGATGCAATAAAATGTTTCAGGTTTATCTTTCACTTTCCCTTTCCAATTCTGGAATAACCGTATACCCAGGGAACTCTGATTCCTATTAATAGGGAGTACTATTTAGAAACCTAGGACTGGAGCACCAGCTATGCTCATAGCATGGGAGTGTCACTGCTTCCAGGTTCCTGCTGTGTCTATTCAGAGTCCACTACAGTCATCCTATTTCTGTTTGCTGTAGACTATATTGAAGTTTCATTCTTCATCCCTTCCGTTTTTCTCCCTATAAATTAGTACCTTGAAGCATTCCTAGAGGTCACAAGAAATCATTATATTCAGGTATAGAATGCAATTTTTGTATAGATAATGAATCTATGTTTGTGAAATCTGATTCTGCCTATCATCTATCTTTTTGCAAGGTCTTTTCCTATGAAAAGTGTGTTTTTGGTTTTGTTATTGTTTTTTGAGACAGAGTCTTGCACTATCGCCTAGGCTGGAGTGCAGTGGCACAATCTCCGCTTACTACAACCTTTGGCTCCCAGATTCAAACGATTCTCCTGCCTCAGCCTCTGGAGTAGCTGGGATTATAGGTGCCCACCACAACGCCCAGCTAATTTCTTGTATTCTTAGTAGAGATGGAGTTTCACTGTGTTCGCCAGGCTGGTTTCAGAGCTCCTGACCTCAGGTGATCTGCCCACCTTGGCCTCCCAAAGTGCAGGGATTACAGGTCTGAGCCACTGTGCCCGGCCAATCCTTTACCTTTGCAGATGGAGAAACTGAGACCTAAGAACTGAAATGACTTAAGTCCGTGACTAATTACAGAGCCAAAATAGAGTCCAGGTCTCTTAATTTTCATACCAGAACACTTTCGCTGCGGGCAGTGAAGAGAGCTTGGGTTGATGGTACTTGCCGGAAGTTTTCATGGTTGCTAGGTGGATACAGCACTCTTCCTTCTGTTTTGGCACTCAGGTATCCAGATGGGCATTGAATTTTCCAATGATTTGTCATTTGATGACCAGGAAGGTAGCAGAAAACAAGATGTTGCAGACCAGCAGCTATTTGAGGATGTGTTGTTGTCTGACTAGACACCGAAAGGCCAAAATTCTAAGTAGTTTCAAAACTCTTCCTACCGGTCAGGCTCAGTGGCTGACACCTGTAATCCCAGCACTTTGGGAGGCTGAGGTGGGCAGATCGCGAGGTCAGAAGTTTGAGACCAGCCTTGCCAGCATGCTGAAAACCCATCTCTACTAAAAAAAAATACAAAAAACTAGTCAGGCATGGTGGGGTGAGCCTGTAGTCCCAGCTACCTGGGAGACTGAGGGAAGAGAATTGTTTGAATCTGGGAGGCAGAGGTTGCAGTGAGCTGAGATTGCACCACTGCACTCCAGCCTGGGCAACAGAGTGAGACTCTGTCTAAAAAATAATAAACAAAAGAACAATTAAAAAAAAAAACCCTCCTCCTACCTTTCATAGTCCCATCTATACTGACTTTCTGCTTTCTTCAAAAATGCTCTGTTGGCCAGGTGCAAGTGGCTCACGCCTGTAATCCCAACACTTAGGCCGAGGCAGGAGTTCAAGACCAGCTGAGGCAATGTAATGAGGTGGGCCCCTGTCTCTACAAAAAATAAAAGCTGAGTGTAGTGGCATACAGCTGTAGTCCCAGCTACTTGGGGGACTGAGGCAGGAGGGTCACTTGCGCCTGGGAGGTTGAGGATGCAGTGAGCCATGATCATATACCATGCATTCCAGTCTGGGAGACAGTGAAGACTTGTTTCCAGAAAAAAAAAAGTCACAAAAACCAAAAAAGATCCTGCTCTTTTGACAAATAAGGTCTGTTGGTTTTCTTTTTTAATATTTTCAGTTTAGCAGTATTTTGACATCAACACAGTTATATTGGTACAAGTTTCTTAAAAAGTTAAATACAGGTATATCATATGATCCATTCCTGTCTGCCCAAGAGCAGTGAAAATGCATGTCCACAGAGACTTGTATGCAAATGTTCATAGCAGCATTGTTTGTCATAGTCAAAAAGTAGCAGCCGGGCGCGGTGGATCACGAGGTCAAGAGATCGAGACCATCTTGGTCAACATGGTGAAACCCCGTCTTGACTAAAAATATAAAAATTAGCTGGGCATGGTAGCGCGCGCCCGTAGTCCCAGCTATTCGGGAGGCTGAGGCGGGAGAATTGCTTGAACCCAGGAGGCGGAGGTTGCGGTGAGCCGAGATTGTGCCATTGCACTCCAGCCTGGGTAACAAGAGCGAAATACCATCTCAAAAAAAAAAAAAAAGTAGCAACAACCCAGAGGTTCAGGAACTGGTGACTGGATGCACAATGTAGTTATTTTTGCTGTGGAATACTATTTGCCCATAAGAAGAAGTGAAATACTGACAAGTTATAAAATGGATGAACCTTACAAACTTAAGTGACCAAAAGACCTTGTTACGATTTCAGTTGTTGAAATGTCCAGGAAAGGCAAATCTACAAAGACAGAAAGTACATCGATGGTTGCCTCGGGCTAAAGTTGGAAATAAAGGAAAACTTGCAAATAGTCATGAGTTCTCCTTTTTGGGGTGATAAGAGTGTTCTAAAAGTGGGTTGTGGTGATGGTTGTAAAACTCTGTTAATATACTAACAATTATTCAGTTGTATGATTACAGGCAAATTTTATAGTATGTATATTCTATTTCATAAAGCTTTAAGAAATAGTTACATTTAAAATTTGATGTCCGTAATATTTGTCACATTTATCTTATCCTGTGTTCATTATTAAACGTTTTTATACTGCTTTCTTTCCACTTTTAAGTATGATTTTCAAGGAATGCTAATGTCAAATGATGTCAATGGTAACAGTAAAAATAGCTAGCATTGGTAAAACAGTTACTGTGCACCAGACATTATGCTAGGTACTTTTCAGGTTATCTCTCAATAGCATTGTGATATTGGTACTGTTATTCTCATTTTACAGCCAAGGAAACAGTCTCCTAGAGGTAAATAACTTGTCCAAAGTCACATAGTAAGGAAATAAGGAGACAGGAATTGGAACCGAATCATTCATAATCTCTGTGCTCCATATGTGGATATGCAGTGTTTTTGGTGGAGGACTGTACTGCTTTTCATATGCTGTGACTGTGTTAAACACTCACGTATATATGCCACTGGGATGCATGCTCTACATAACTATTTATGTGTGATCTCTCTAGGAAATTCAGATGGGCATTTGGTATTGCCTGTTTGCCATAGAGCTTGTACAACATAGTGAATCTTATCATCAGTTTTACTTCTTTTTCTCTACTCCTCAGCCTTAATTTTAAAGACCCTGAAGCAGTCCGAGCTCTGACCTGTACTCTCCTAAGGGAAGATTTTGGACTTTCTATTGATATTCCATTGGAGAGACTAATTCCCACAGTTCCCTTGAGACTCAACTATATTCACTGGGTAGAAGATCTGATTGGTCACCAGGACTCTGACAAAAGTTCTCTCCGAAGAGGAATTGACATAGGTATATTGTCTTAAATTCGTTTTTGGCTAAACATAGGTTTCATAAGTTTTGCATGATCAAATTCTTTGTAAACTTTTCTACTGGGTATTTGTTGTTGTGTAAGAGAAGCTGGCTGCAGGTACAGGTTGAGCATCCTTAATCTGAAAATTCAAAATGCTTCAGAATCTGAAACCTTTTGAACGCGGATATGCTGCTCAGAGGCAATGTGTATTGGAGCTTTGCCAATTTTGGGGTTAGGGATGTTCAACCAGTAAATATAATGCAAATATTTCAAAATCTGAAAAAAAGAAACTGAAATCCAAAACACTTCTCATCCCAAGCATTTTGGATTAGGGATCCTCCACCTGTATTGCTGTTCCTATTTACTCCACCTGGCCTTTTCTCCCATTGATTTCTCTTGAGAAGGGATTGTCAGTCCAAATGGGGAGCAGGAGGTTAACGGAAGTAAAAACCAAAGTGAGCCTCTTGCCTTGCTTAGCTTTTCATTTTCTTTCTTTCTTTTTTTTTTATTTTAATTTTTTAAAATATTTTTTTTTTTAATTTTGAAATGGTGTGTTGTCCAGGCTGGTCTTTAACTCCTGGGCTCAAGCAGTCCACCTGCCTCACCTTCCCAATATGCTGGGATTACAGGCATGAGCCACTACACCTGGCCCTACTTAGCTTTTCAGATTACCACATTGATGTCTGTGTCTGTTGGGCATTATTTTTACTCTGGATTTTGCTCTTGTTGCGTCTGCTAGAGTGCAATGGTGCGGTTTTGGCTCACTGCAACCTCTGCCTCCCAGGTTTAGGCGATTCTCCTGCTTCAGCCTCCCAAGTAACTGGTATTACAGGCGCCCACCACTGCACCTGGCTAATTTTTTTGTATTTTTAGTAGAAACAGGGTTTCACCATGTTAGCCAGGCTGGTCTCAAACTACTGACCTTAGGTGATCCACCCACCTTGGCTTCCCAAAGCTCTGGGATCACAGGCGTGAGCCACCGCACCCGGCCAAAAACCTCAGTGGAATTTCTTGAGGACTTTGCAATATAAGTCTAAAGGTTTTCTGGAAGAATAAATCATGAAACAAAAATTTGAAAACTCCAGCCTGGGTGATAGAGAGACCCTGTCTCAAAATAAATAAATAAAGTAAGATGTTCTTTTAATGTAACTTTTACAATAAAGACTGTCCAGTTTCATTCATTTGGGAGAGTGAGAGGAGACAGGCAGAAATGAAGCCAGGGCATGTTTTGTAACTATACGTGTGCATTTGTTATAGCCAAAGTTTTCATTTAATAGTTCATTTTAGGAAAATTTGAATTAGCAGCTCTGTCACTATTTATTTTCTCTTCTTTTATTTGTCTTGTTTGTTTTTTTGTCTTGTTTTGTTTTTGAGATGTAATCTGGCTCTTGTCACTCAGGCTGGAGTGCAGTGATGCCATCTTGGCTCACTGCAACCTCCGTCTCCCGGGTTCAAGCGATTCTCCTGCCTCAGCTTCCCAGTAGCTGGGATTACAGGCACCTGCCACCACACCCAGCTAATTTTTATATTTTTAGTAGAGATGGGATTTTACCATGTTGATGATCAAGCTGGTTTCAAACTCCTGACTTCCCAAACTGTTGGGATTACAGGTGTGAGCTAACGTGCCCAGTCTCTATTTCTAACTTAGTAGAATTAATAACAGTTCCAATTTCTAGATAGTGGTAAATGTTCAACTTTGCTATTTGCATGCATTTTCAGTCCTCATCCCATATGATCTTTTCAGCAGCATTTACTGATCCCTCCTTTCTCTTTTGTTTTCTCTCCTTCATTTGCTTCCATGACACCAGACTCCTCTGCTGGTTTCCTCTTTCATTAATATGCACTGTTCTCTACTTTCCCGGCATACCTTCCTGTATCTGACCACTGGATATTGGTGTTCTTTACATAAGGCTCAGCCTTTAGCTCCTTTCTCACTCAGCACCCTACCCTGGGCAACTGCATTCACTTCTATGGTGATTTCCTACCTCACTGCAAATAAGCCACATATTTATATGTTCCTCCGACTCAGATTACTTTTCTTAACCTCTGATCTCACATATATGAGAAACTTGTATGTCTGAAAAACATCTCAGACTTGCTATGAGATGAGACTTGCTGAAACTTGCTGTGTCCAAGACCAAACTCACACTCTATTTCCCTAATCCTGGTTCTCTGTTATTTATTTCAGTGAGTCTACCATTGCCCACCTTGTGATCCTTGATACTTGCTTCTCCACACTCACTAAAAAATGTCTGTCACTATTTCCTGTTGACTGTCTCTCTGAAGTGCTTCTGAAGTCACCTGCGTCTCTCCATCTCCACTGCTACTCTAACCCATCATCATCTCTGACCTTTTCTGCAGAAGAGCTTCTCAGCGAGTCTGCTTAAAAAGCTTCACAGCCTGTTTGGTACTAATTTGATTTTAATTATGCCCCAAACCCTCTAAAATAGCACTTGGGGATAGAGGAGGTTAATGGATTTTAATTCTTCACAAGGGGCATTACCTAACTGCAATCACATCCATTCTAATTAGGGTTTTATATAAATTCTTTCCCCAGACTCCATCAGTTTGCTCTAATTCTAGGATTACGTACTTTCCATTTTTATTTATCATTACAAAGATTATTATCCATTTAAAAATGTCATTTGGCTTTCTGAGGGGATTTTGTTCTGTCCTATAAAGGACTAGTAAAGAGTCTTTTGCATTCTATTAGAGTGCAAGTCTTTGGGTCTTGAGAATTAAGAAACTTTTTGGCTGTGACAGATCTTTTATCTGTTACCCTGGAGGTAAGTGTACCTTTTTATTTTATTTTTTGTTTTTATTTTTTAAATGAAATTGAAGTTGGAAGAGAGAGGCAGTTGTGTAAAAGTCAAGGATCTCGTCTGGATTTTTTTTTTTACAGAGTTGAAAGTACAACTGAAATTTTCTTACGTGTGTATCTGGCTTACTAGAATGGCTGGCAGGAGCTGAATGTTTGTGGTTTCTGAGAGGACCTTGAGTACCCTTTTCCACCCCTTCCCTCACTACCCCACAATGGTCCAAGGATGTGCTTGTCCAGTAGCACTGGGGCCAGGATACTCTCAGGCGGACATGGTAGGCAGCACAGCATTCACTGACCATCGAAGAGCGTCAGTGTTGGACCGTTGTCTTTTCTAGCCTGTTCAGGATGCCTAATGAGGAAGCCGGATGATGAGCCTGGATTTCCTCTGGGTTAGGAATATCTAGCCTCTACTTCTTCCGGCCAGATCCTTACGAGGTTAGACCAGAACTGGGATATGGCAGATGAGAGCAGGCCTAGAGTAGCTGGTAGAGGCTGACTACTTTAGGCCTTTGGGAGAAACACTGGCTTTTCTTCTCTTGAATATACATTTTAGGATCTAATTGGCCAAGATAGTCAATATTGTAAGAAAGAGAGAGAGAGAGAAGAGAGACCGACAGACAGACTTGTTCTGTCACCCAGGCTGGAGTGCAGTGGTACCATCTCGGCTCACTGTAACCTCTGCCTACTGGGTTCAAGCGATTCTCCTGCCTCAGCCTCCTGAGTAGCTGGGATTACAGGTGTAACTCACCACTATACCCAGCTAATTTTTGTGTTTTTAGTAGAGACGGGGTTTCACCATGTTGGCCAGGTACATCTCAGACTGCTGACCTCAGGTGGTCCACCTGCTTTGGTTTCCCAAAATGCTGGGATTATAGGTGTGAGCCACTATGCCCAGTCTATGAAAGTAATAATCATGGTTAGTATATAGTCTAGTCTAGGGCTAGGGGTTCTACATAGCTTAGTACCAAACCCTAGTGGTCAAAGAGTGTTTTTTTTTCTTTTGCCTGGAATGTTTGCCTCTTGAATGCCTCCCTTGAAACTGTGGTGGGGCTAGCCAATGACTCTGATGGCTCCAAATCAAATACTTTTCCATGTCTCCACATGTAAGAAATGAGTTCTTTAGGGTTTTGTTTTGTTTTTTCTTTTAACTTCTTGTTTCTTTCAACTGACAACTTACAGACATTTGGAGAATCAGCAATTTAATATACTAAAAATTTTATACCCCACATATTTTTTCCTGCTTTTGGAGAATGGAATGTATACTGATCTGTTTTAAGTTATTACTAAGGCATGTTAGCAAATAGCACTGATTTCTTTTAAGAAAATTGAGTTTTGTATGAGATTTTAAATGAAGACTTTTTATAAAGTAAATCAACAGTTTGGGGCATTTTAGGTTAATTAGTCATGTATTCCTTGACCTCTGCTTATGTGTACTTTATTTTTTATACAACACACAAAGGAGGTCACAAGGTTTCTATCCTTTAGGAAGTTTGAATCTAATTAGGAGGTAAGACTAACATAAACGAAATGACTGGGGAACCAGTAGCTGTAATATTTATGAAATCAGATACCAGTTTGTGATTTCTCTACCAAAAAATACAAAAATTAGCCAGGCATGGTGGCATGCACCTATGGTCCCCGGTACACGGGAGGCTGAGCTGGGAGAATCACCTGAGCCCAGGAAGTCAAGGCTGCAGTGAGCTGTGATCACACCACTGCACTGCAGCCTGGGTGACAGAGTGAGACCCTGTATCAAAACAGAATTCTGAGAAGCATTGTGTTTTCATGATTATTCTAACCTTTCCCTCTGGTGTGTAGAATGTGTTTTGAATTTTCATTTTACTAGGTACAGGGGCCTCCTGCATCTACCCGTTACTTGGAGCAACCTTGAATGGCTGGTATTTCCTTGCAACAGAAGTGGATGATATGTGTTTCAACTATGCAAAGAAAAATGTGGAACAGAATAACTTATCTGATCTCATAAAAGGTTAGCGCCACAGAGTGAATACCTCCAAACTTTTCGTTTTCTTTCACCTGCCTTTTTAATTTAACACATTTCATTACCTTTTTTTTTTTAATATGCAGACTTTGGTAATTTTGTTTTTTGAGACGGAGTTTCGCTCTTGTTTACCCAAGCTGGAGTGCAGTGGCGCGATCTCGGCTCACCGTAACCTCCGTCTCCTGGGTTCAGGCAATTCTCCTGCCTCAGCCACCTGAGTAGCTGGGATTACAGGCACGCACCACTATGCCCAGCTAATTTTTTTTTTTGTATTTTTAGTAGAGATGGGGTTTCACCATGTTGTCCAGGATGGTCTTGATCTCTTGACCTTGTGATCCACCTGCCTCGGCCTCCCAAAGTTCTGGCATTACAGGCGTGAGCCACCGCGCCCGGCCCAGACTTTGATAATTTTTAAAAGTCTGGTACTTTGTCGTTGGGTTTGCTGTTTCGATATGAGAATTAACTCAGAAAGAAAATAGTAACTACAGTTGATTCTTATTATTTGTGGATTCTGTATTTGTGAATTTGCCTACTTGCCGAAATTTATTTAGTTATGCATTCATTTATTTTAGTAGATTTTCTTGAATAAATGTTGCTTTATTTGCCTTAGAATCATTTCCAGAGACTTTAAGTGGTGGTTTTTTGTTTGTTTGTGTGTTTGTATACTTTTATAGTGTTTATTTTTTAGGGCATTTTTAGGTTCATAGCAAAACGGAGTGGAGGTTCGGAGATTTCCCATATGTGCCCACCTCCACACATGCAGAGCCTTCTTTATTGTCAACATCTCCCCAGAGTGGGATATTTGTTACAGGTGATGCCCTTATGCTGACACATCATTCTCACCCACAGATCAGAGTTTACATTACGGTTTCCCCTTGTTGTACATTCTGTAGTTTTGGACAAATGAAACTGGCGTGTATCTCCCAGTACAGTATACACAGGGTCGTTTCACTTGCCCTCTGGCCTTCTGGGCTGCAACTGTTCATCTCTCACTGACCCCAACCCCAGGAAACTACTGACCTTTGGACTCTCTCCATAGTTTTACATTGTTCAGAGTGTCATATAATTGGAATCATACAGTATGTAGACTTTTCAGATTGGCTTCTCCTACTTAGTAATATTTATTTTTAAGTTTCCTAATGTCTTTTTATAGTTTGATAGCTTTTTAAAAATGTTATTTTAATTTAATTTTTTTCGACTGCCTCTGTAATTGCAGAAAGCTCATTTATTTTTAGCACATTTCATTTTACTATTCCATTATCTGGGTATACCAGAATTTCTCCATTCACCTATTGAAGGATATCTTGATTGCGTCCAAGTTTTGACAACTCCAAATAAAGTTATGAGAAACTTCTGTGTGCAGCTTTTTCTATGCATGTAATTTTTCAACTCCTTTAGGTAAATACCAGGGAGTGTGCTTGCTGGATGGTATAGTAATAGTATCTTTACTTTTGTAAGAAACCACCAAACTGTCTTCCAAAGAACTGTTTAATGCTCCTGCCGGCACTGTTGCCCATATCCTTGGCAGTACAGGGTGTTGTCGGTGTTCTGGATTTTGGCCATTCTCATAGGTGTGTAGTGGTATTTCATTAATTTGTATTTTCCTGACATTGTTGTGGAACATCTTTTCATATGCTTATTTACCATCTGTATATCTTTTTTGCTGAGGTGTCTGTTCAGGACTTTTTGCCCATTTTTCAATCATGTTCATTTTCTTATTGTTGAGTTTTAAGAGTTCTTGTCTTCAGCCGGGCACGGCGGCTCATGCCTGTAATCCCAGCACTTTGGGAGGCCAAGGCGAATGGATCACGAGGTCAAGAGATTGAGACCATTCTGGTCAACATGGTGAAACCCCGTCTCTGCTAAAAATATAAAACATTAGCTGGGCATGGTGGCATCTGCCTGTAATCCCAGCTACTCAGGAGGCTGAGGCAGGAGAATTGCCTGAACCCAGGAGGCGGAGGTTGCGGTGAGCGGAGATTGCGCCATTGCACTCCAGCCTGGGTAACAAGAGCAAAACTCCATCTCAAAAAAAAAAAAAAAAAAGACTTCTTGTTTTTTTTGAGTAATTGTTCTTTATCAGCTATGTATTGCAAATATTTTCTTGCAGTCTGTGACTTGTCTGTTCATTCTCTTGACAGTATCTTTAGTAGAGCAAAAATTAAATTTTTTCCTTTTTTAAAAAAATAATAGCCTAAAAAGTACAAAATTTAATTTTAATAAGAATATATATATTTGGAAAAAAGAGCTGGTCTTATTAACATTAAATATATATATGTGTGTGTGTGTGTGTGTGTGTGTGTGTATATATATATATATATATATGTATGAGGGTTCAAGTGATCTTTCCACCTCAGCCTCCTGAGTAGCTGGTTCTACAGCTGTACGACACTATGCCCAGCTAATTTTTAAAAAATAGATATAGAGTCTTGCTTTGTTGCCCAGGCTGGTCTCAAACTCCTATCCTCAAGTGATGCTCTTGTCTGGACCTCCCAAAGTGTTGGAATGATAGGCATAAGCCGCTGTGCCCACCAAGTCCAGCTTATTGAGTCCTTTTAAAGAATTGTATACAATACCTTTGGTATTGTATCCAAAAAGTGCTGTAATCCCAGCATGCTGGGAGGCTGAGGCAGGCAGATCCTTGAGGTCAGGAGTTTGAGACCAGCCTGGCCAACATGACGAAACCCCATCTTTACTAAAAATACAAAAATTAGCCAGCTTGGTGGCGCATGCATGTAAATTGCAGTGATTCAGGAAGCTGAGGAACAAGAATCACTTGAACCTGGGAGGTGGAGGTTGCAGTGAGCTGAGATCACGCCACTGCGCTCCAGCCTGAGAAACAGAGCAAGACTGTATGTTACTTTCTAGGAGTTTTATAGTCTTGCATTTGCATTTAGGTCTGTGATCTGCTTTGAGTTAGATTTAGTGAATGATATAAGTTCTGTGTCTATATTCATTTTTTGCATGTGGATGTCCAAGTGATGTCATAGTATCAGTTCTTGAAAAGACTATATATCAATTCTGTTCCATTGATCTATTCATTCACTAAAAACATACTGTTTTGATTACAGTAGCTTTGTAGTAAGTCTTAGAATTGGGTAATGTCAGTCTTTCATCTTGCCTCTTCTCTTTCAATATTGTGTTGGCTATCCTGAGTCTTTTGTCTCTCCAAATAAACTTTAGAATTCGTTTATCAATAGCTAAAATGTATGTATGTATGTTTGTATGTATGAATATATTTACTTAATTATTTTTAGAGACAGGGTCTCACTGTTGCCCAGGCTGGAGTGTAGTGGCTCATGGCAGTCTCAACCTTCTGTGTTCAGGTAATCATCCAGCCCCAGCCTTCTGAGTAGCTGAGGCTGCCATTGTGCACCTCCATGCCTGGCTAATTTTTGTAGTTTTTGTAGAGGTGAGGTCTTGCCATGTTGCCCAGGCTGGTCTTGAATTCCTGGGCTCGAGCAATTCTCTGGCCTCAGCCTCCCAAAGTGCTGGGATCACAGGCTTGAGCCAGCACCCTTAACCTAAAACTTATTTTTAACTCAAAAATTGGCATTCATGGTACTTTTGTGGTCATTCACAGACATGTGCATAGTGGCAAATAATTGAAGTTGCCCGGCGTGCATGTTCCCAGCTGAGGCTGAGCAAGGTGATACTCTGCTTTCTTACTCCAGCTTCCACACCATCAACCGAACATCCTTTTCTTGGTCTATTTAATGCCACATGTTTTGGGCTTTTTCTCTCTCTCATTTTTGTGCTTTTTCTTGGGGATTTTGCTGTTTAAATAGTCCCTAAACATAGTGCTGAAGAGCTGTCTTTTGTTCCTCAGTGCAGAGGCTGTGATGTGCCTTACAGACAAAACAGGTGTTAGATAAGCCTCCTTCAGACACGAGTTGTACTGCTGTTGGCCGTGAGTTCAGTGTGAGTGCATCAGCCATGGATGTTAGATAAAGTGTCTTTAAACAGGAACACCACAAAACAAGGTTGTGTATCTATCAGTTGATGAAAATGTGATCAGAGACTTGTAGGAACCTAACCCTGTACTTCTGCTGGAACCAGTGGTTCAGTATTCACTCACTGACTCTTTGTGGCTGCTTTGTAGAACATAACTAGCACAGATAATGAGAACTCACTATACATGAAGTAACTTAGTCACCAAGATTTTAAAAGGAAGGAAATCCTACTGTTGAACAAACTATACCGTCTTTTTAATTTCTGTACATAGGCCAGGCACTGTGGCTCACGCCTGCAATCCCAGGGCTTTGAGAGGCTGAAGCAGACTGTCTGAGATCAGGAGTTTGAGACCAGCCTGACCAACATGGTGAAACCCCGTCTCTACTAAAAATACAAAACTTAGTTAGCATGGTGGCTGGTGCCTGTAATCCTAGGTACTCGGGAGGCTGAGGCAGGAGAATTGTTTGAACCCAGGAGGTGGAGGTTGCAGTGAGCTGAGATCATGCCACTGCATTCTATCCCGGTCTACAGAGCGAGACTCCACCTCCGAAACAAATAATAATAATTTCAGCACATAGAACTGTGCTAGAAACAGTCAAATCCCCTTGTGATTAGTTACTTTTTATTTTTGTGACCATTCTGTATATAAAGCAGTGTTAATTTTTTTCATTAAAGAGATTTTATGTCTCTTTATGAAAGAAATAAGACTTTTCTTCATAGTATTGAACATCTTTATAAAGAGACATTAATATTAGTGCATTTGTTTTATTTCTCCATTGTTGTGTAACAAATTACTCCAAAATCTAGGAGCCTATTTATTTATTTATATTTTTTATTTTTTAAGACGGGGTCTTGCTTTGTCACCCAGGCTGGAGTGCAGTGGTGCAATATCAGCTCACTGCAACCGCTGTCTCCCAGGTTCAAGCGATTCTCCTGTCTCAGCCTCCTGAGTAGCCGGGATTACAGGTTCCCACCACCACACCCAGCTGTAATTTTTTAGTAGAGACAGGGTTTCACCATGTTGGCTAGGCTGGTCTTGAACTCCTGATCTCAGGTGACCTACCTGCCTTGGGTTTCTGAAGTGTTGGGATTATGGGCATGAGCCACCATGCCCAGGCATATTATTACTAGGAGCCTTATTATTATTATTATTTAATATTTTTTATTAGAGACAGGGTCTTAGTCTGTCACTCAGGCTAGAATGCAGTAGTATCATCATGGCTCACTGCAACCTCAGCCTCTTGGGCTCAAGCAGTCTCTCACTTTAGCCTCCCAAGTGGTTGGGACTACAGGCTTGTACCACCAAGCTCAGATAATTTTTTATTTTTAAAATTTTTGTCGAGCTAGGTTCTTGCTGTTTCCCAGGTGAATCTGGAACTCCTGGTCTCAAGCAATTCTCCCATCTTGGCCTCCCACAGCACTGGGATTATAGGCATGAACCATCACAGCTGAACCCAGCAACTTTAAACAATAAACATTTATCTCATCATTTCTATGGGTCATAAATTTTGGCATGGCTTAGTCTCGTGGTTCTAGTTTAGACTCTTTCATGAATTTGTAGCCACATTGTTGGCTGGAGCTGAAGACTTTCTCGGTGATAGAGATTTGCTTCCTAGATGGCTTACTTACATGACTCTTGGAAGGAAACCCTAGTTCATTGCCATGTGGATCTCTCCATGAAGCTACCTGAGTGTCCTTAAAGCACAGCCTGTTCTTAAGGGGAGGGAAATGAAACTCCATCTCCTGAAGGGAGTAATGTCTAAGAGTTTGAGGACGTCCAGTCATGCATTGCTTAACGGCAGGGATATATTCTGAGAAATGCATCATGAGGTGATTTCATTCGTAGTGTGCACTTACACACACCTGAATGGCATAGCCTACTACATACCCAGGCCTATATGTAACAGCCTGTGGCTCCCAGGCTCCAAGCTGAACAGTGTGTTACTGTATTGAACACCGAAGGCAATTTTAGCACAATGGTAAGTATTTGTGTATCTAAGCACATAACACTTAGAAAAGGTACAATAAAAATGTGGTCTTATAATCCTATGGAACCACCATCATATATGCAGTCCTTTGTTGACCAAAGCAGCATTATACAGTGCATGATTATACTTTAAAGCCACCACAACATTAATATTAGTTCACACCTTCCTATTTTTTCTCCTAGTGGTGAAAGTACCACAGAAGACGCTCCTGATGGATGCTCTGAAAGAAGAATCTGAGATCATCTATGACTTTTGCATGTGCAACCCTCCCTTTTTTGCTAATCAGTTGGAAGCCAAGGTAAAATTTCTTCTACTTTAAAATAATTTAGTATAGGCCAGGCACAGTGGCTCACACTTGTAATCTCCACACTTTGGGAGGCCGAGGCAGGCGGATCATGAGGTCAGGAGTTCGAGACCAGCCTGGCCAACATGGTGAAACCCTATCTCTACGAAAGATACAAAAAATTAGCCAGGTGTGGTGGTGTGCGCCTGTAATTCCAACTACACAGGAGACTGAGGCAGGAGAATCACTTGAACCTGAGAGGTAGAGGTTGCAGTGAGCTGAGATTGTGCCATTGCACTCCAGCCTGGGCGACAGAGTGAAACTCCGTCTCAAAAAGAAAAACTGCGTATATATCTAAATTTGCCTTATTTGCAGAAATAAGAGCAAAGAAAACTTTAAAAAACTGATTTATTAATTTTTTAGTTAATGTTTTTGAGATGGAGTCTTACTATGTTGCTCAAGCTGGTCTTATGCATCTGGACTCAAGCAATCCCCCTCCCCTCAGCTTCCCTAGTAGCTGAGATCATAGGCGCGTGCTACCGTGCCTGGCTTTGGAAAGCTGTGTCAGGGTGCTTTCAGTTTGAAGTATATTCGGCTCTCTATCTGTGGGCTCCACCTCTGTGGATTCAGCCAGCCACTCATTGAAAGTATTTGGAGGCTGGTATGGTGGCTCACACTTGTAATCCCAGCACTTTGGGAGGCTGAGGTGGGCAGATAGCTTGAGCTCAGGAGTTCAAAACCAGCCTGGGCAACATGGCAAAACCGTCTCTACAGAAAATACAAAAAGAATTAGCTGGGCATTGTGGTGTATGCCTATAGACCCAGCTACTTGGGAGGCTGGGGTGGGAGGATGACTTGAGCCCAGGAGGTACAGCTTACGTTGAGCCAAGATCGTGCCATTACACTCCAGTCTGGGGAACAGAGCAAGACCCTGTCTCAAAAAAAAAAATTGGGGGGATAAAAAGAAAACAATAAAAATAACAATGTAACAGTAAAAAAAATAGAAAAATACAATATTACTCTTTTTACATTGCATTCACATTGTATTAGCTATTATAACTAATCTAGGAATTATCAAGTATATGAGATGATGTGGACAGGTTAAATGCAGGTACTACCTCTGTTATAAAAGGGACTTGAGCTTCCTTGGATTTTGGTATCTGAGGCAGGTCTTCCTGAGTACCCAGGGAGGACTGCACCTAAAAATCCAATTTAGGTTGACTTAACAACAAAGAAAGTTGATTATTTGAGATCGATCCAAGATGGCCGACCACTAACAGCTCAGGATTGTAGCTCCCAGTGAAAGCTCAGAGAACGAGACAACGCCACATCTTTAGACGAATTTTTGTCACTCATAGATTAGCCGATTCCCAGTGGAGGAGCCCCACGGGTCGCCAGTGCGACTCTTGTGGCCGCCGCAGCGGTTTTGCCGGCGTCTCGGCGCAGCAGCTCTTCATGCAGAGCCAACGGGACTGCTTCCCCTACTGACCGGAATTTGGAGCTCCGGGAAGTCAGAGCCGCTTGTTGCGGACTCAAGAGGGAAGCCAGACCAGAGATTCCCGGGCAGAAGAGCACCATCAGTCTTATCGCTGCTATTTAGGCCGCCACAGTGGGTTGCTCGGATCCCAGCACTGGGAATCAATAAGTCGGACGTCGACTCAGAAACCTAATTAGAAAGGCGGTTCATCTACAATGAAGGGAAAAAAACAGCCTAAGAAGGCCGAGTATACTCAAAATCAGAACCCATCAGCAACGGAACAACCCCTGATGGAAAAGGACTCATCAGCAACCGAACAAGCCCTGATGGAAAAGGACTCATCAGTAACGGAACAAGCCCTGATGGAAAAGGACTGTGTGCCTTTATCTGAAGTAGGCTTTAAAAGGTGGATGATAAGAAACTTCTGGGAGTTAAAGGAACTTGTTCTAACCCAATGTAAAGAAACTAAGAACTTGGAAAAAAGGTTAGATGAAATGTTGAAAAGAATAAACAATATAGAGAGGAATACAAATGAACTTATGGAGTTGAAAAATACAACACGAGAACTTAGTGAAATATGTACAAGCTTAAACAGCCGAATGGATCAAGCGGAAGAAAGGATATCAGAGGTCGAAGATCAACTTAATGAAACAAAACGACAAGACAAGAATAGAGAAAAAAGTATAAAAAGGAATGAGCAAAGTCTCCAAGCAATATGGGACTATGTGAAAAGACCTAATATACGCTTGATTGGTGTACCTGAATGTGACGGAGAGAATGAATTCAAGCTGGAAAATACTCTCCAGGACATTATCCAGGAAAATTTTCCTAATTTAGCAAAGCAGGACACTATTCAACCCCAGGCAATACAGAGAACACCACAAAGATATTCCTCAAGAAGACCAACCCCAAGGCACATAATCGTTAGATTCACCAAGATCGAAACGAAGGAGAAAATAATAAGGGCAGCCAGAGAGAAAGATCAAGTTACCCATAAAGGGAAGCCTATTAGGCTTACAGCAGATCTCTCAACGGAAACCCTACAAGCTAGAAGAGAGTGGGGGCCAATATTCAATATACTTAATCAACAGAACTTTCAGCCCAGAATTTCATATCCTGCCAATTTAAGCTTTACATTTGAAGGAAAAATAAACTCTTTTAGGAACAAGCAAGTACTCAGAGATTTTATTACCACCAGGCCTGCTTTACAAGAACTTCTAAAAGAAGCATTATACACAGAAAGGAACAACCAGTATGACCCTTTCTAAAAACACACCAAAAAGTAAAGAGCATTAACATAAAGAAGAATTTTTATCAACGAAAGGACAAAATAGCCAGTTAATATCAAATGGCAGCAACCCTAAATTTAAATCGACCAAATCTCCCAATCAAAAGATACAGACAAAATCTAACGGTGTAGCCAAAGATATACATAGACTAAAAATAAAGGGTTGGAAAAAAAAAAACGTACCAACCAAATGGAGAGCAAAAATAAATAAATAAAAAGCAGGAGTTGCAATTTTCACATTTGACAAAATAGATTTCAAAGCTACAAGGATATAAGGGTAAAAGGATTAATGTAATAATAAGAGATCTTAACACCCAGATACATAAGACCCATAATGAGATTTAGATTCAACGAGACAACAAATTGATAACGATATCCAGGACTCGAACTCAGAGCCAGAACAAATAAACACAATAGAGGTCTCCATTTTAAACACATAAAATATGCATTAACCACTTTAAACACTCAAAATATTGATCGGCCATTATTGAAACCCATTTTAGGAATGAAGTAATATTCCTTTTTCCCTCTTTTTCTTTTTTTCCCCTTCAAAAATAAAAAGTAGCTGAAACAAAGACATCAGAAAAGTTAACAATGTGTTCATTTCTGTTGGTGGTTTACTATACTCTGTACTTTTCTGGATGCTTAAAAGATGTCATAATAAAAATGCATTCATGACTCAAAAAAAAAGAAAAAGAAAAAGAAAAGAAAGGAAGGAAGGCAGAGAGAAGAAAGAAAGAAAACAGACAAAATGAAATTTTTTGCTAAACATAATCTGGCCTGGCGACAGAGCTAGGCTCCATCTCGAAAGAAAGGTAGAGAGACAGAAAGAAAGAGCAACAGAGAAAGACAGACAGACAGACAGACAGAAAAAGAGAGAGAGAGAGAGAGAGACAGAGAGAGGCCGGGCAAGGTGGCTCATGCCTGTCTTCCCAGCACTTTGGGAGGCCGAGGCTGGTGGATCACAGGGTCAGCAGTTCGAGACCAGCCTGGCCAAAATGTTGAAACCCCGTCTCTACTAAAAAAAAAAAAAGAAAGTTGATTATTTGAGAAACCCAGCAGTAGGTGGGATTTCATAATGATTTGATTAAGGTGTTCACAGTATTAAGAGCTCTGTTTTTTTTTCCCTTGGCTGTGACTTGTTCCATGGTTGTTTTTGTTCATAAACTGGTTTACTTGTGGTACAGCAATATTCAGTGGGTGGGAGGGTGAGGAGAGCTCTTTTCTTCCCTAAACCATTGGACATTTGATTTTCTTCTCATTGGACCAACTTGGGTCATAGTCTACTCCTGGTCTCAGCTTCTTGGCTTAGGAAGGAAATCAGTGTTTTTACTGCTGTATGGTTTTTATTTGAGACAGAGTCTCACTCTGTCACCCAGGCTGGAGTGCAGTGGCACGATCTCAACTCACTGCAACCTCCGCCTCCCGAGTTCAAGCAATTCTCCTGCCTCAGCCTCCCAAGTAGCTGGGATCACAGGCACGTACCACCACGCCCAGCTAATTTTTGTGTTCTTAATAGAGATGGAGTTTTGCCATGTTGGCCAGGCTGGTCTCAAACTCCTGATCTCAAGTGATCCACCTGTCTTGGCCTCTCAAAGTTCTGGGATTACAGGTGTGGGCAACCGTGCCTGGTCAACACTTCTTATTTGTATATCTTCTTTGGCAAAATGCTTTTTCATATCCTTTGCTCATTTTTAAGTTGGTTGATTTTTTTTATTATTATTAAGTTGTAAGACTTCTTTATATATCCCACTTACAGGTTCCTTGTTAGATAGTGATTTGCAGACATTTTCTTTCTTCCCTCCTGCGGGTTGTCTTCTGTCTTTCTTGATGGTGCCCTTTGCAGCTTAGGAGTTTTTAGTTCGGATGAAGTCAATTTCGCTGTTTTCTTTTGTTGCTTATGCTTTTTGTTGTCATGTCTCAAAAACTGTTGCTTAATCCAAGGTCATGAAAATTTATGTTTTCTTCTAAGAGTTTTATAGTTTTAGCTTTTACTTTTAGGTATTTGATGCATTTTGAGTTAATTTTTCATACAGTATGAGATAAGGGTGGATTAAATATTTAAATGTAAAAAGCAAAACCATGAAAATGCTAGGAAAAAAACATAAGTAAATATTTATTTAATCTTTGGGTGGATTTTCTGTACATGAAACCAAGACAGAAAGCATAAAGAAAAAGTGACAGATTGGGCTATCCGAAAAGGCAAAAAATTTTTATGTTTAATCACAAAAATGGAAGGTAAAAGACCTGGGAAAAAGTAACTGCATGAAGTCGTTGTTTAAAATAAAATATTGTAATGGCTTTGTGATTTTAAAATCCTAAATCCAGCATACTACTTGGAAAGTCAAATTGCATCTCACCATTCTAACTTAGGATGGATTACATTCAGACTTGGTTCTTTGGGTATACACATTTTTCACCAGGGTTTTTTGTTGTTGTTATTCAGGGAGTAAACTCAAGAAATCCCCGAAGACCTCCACCTAGTTCTGTTAACACAGGCGGCATCACAGAGATCATGGCAGAAGGAGGTGAACTAGAGTTTGTTAAAAGGATCATTCATGACAGTCTACAACTGAAAAAAAGATTAAGGTAAGTCTGTTTTTATAACATACAGATCATTTTTACACCATAGGAACATTTACCTCCTATGTCGTTCTTTTTTTTTTTTTTTTTTTTGAGTTGGAGTATTTGTCTGTCTGTCACCCAGGCTGAAGTGCAGATCTCAGCTCACTGCAGCCTCTGCCTCCCGGATTCAATCGTTGCTCGTGCCTCAGCCTCCCGAGTAGCTGAGATTACAGGCACCATCCACCTGTAATTTTTGTATTTCTAGTAGAGATGTGGGGGTTCACCACGTTGGTTGGACTAGTCTGGAACTCCCAACCTCAGGTGATCCACCTGCCTCGACCTCCCAAAGTGCTGGGATTATAGGCATGAGCCGCTGTGCCCAACCCTCCCTATGTAGTTCTAAAACAAACCATGTGACTCAGAGGAAAAGTAATTCTAGTGGTCAGAAGAACAAGCAGATAACCAAGGTAGTGGCTCCTACAATCTGCAAAGACCCTGTTTCTGAGGATGTTCTCATGCTTTTTATTGAATTCTGTTTACTGTAACCATGTATACTACATAGATGGAAAGAGGAAAATACCATATGATTGTATTGCTCCCATTAGTACGGTCCTGTGATGGAACAAAACTGATTCAAATATGGCTTTTGATTAGAAAACAGATGGGTTCATTTCTCTCCCATGAACCAGAATAAATTTGTTGCCTAGTCCTTGAAGCAATTTATGTTGTTGGAATCAGTCTCCCAAACAGTGACATATGTGAGGACATTGAGCTGTCAAGAACTTAATGAAGGGAAACTGAGATTACTAACGAGTTGCAGAGGAGGGTTAAGGCCATTCCTTTTTAAAGCTAATTATTTTGGACAACACACCTGTCATTAAGCAACATAAGCTACTCAAAAAGAGCTAGCTATCTTGCTTGACTTCTCACCCTGCCACATGTTGTTGAAATGATGGATAATGTGGTAGTTCAAAGCTAAAAGAGCTTTTAGTCCTAGGATTTAGCTTTGGGACACAGGGAAGATTTTGTTATTATTGTGGTAAATACACATAATATGAAATTTACCATCTGTATTAGTCCATTCTCACACTGCTATAAAGAAATACCTGAGACTGAGTAATTTGTAAAGATAAGAGTTTTAATTGGCTCAGGGTTCCACAGGCTGTACAGGAAGCATGACTGGGGAAGCCTTGGGAAACTTACAATCATGGCAGAAGGTGAAGGGGAAGCAGGCACATCATTACATGGCCAGAGGAGAAGGAAGAGAGAGAAGTGGGAGGTCTAGTGAGAACTCACTGACTATCATGAGAACAGCAAGGGGAAATCTGCCCTCGCGATCCAGTCTTCTCCTACCAGGGCCCTTCTCCAACAGTGGAGATTACAATTTGACATGAGATTTGGGCGGGGACACACATCCAAACCATATTGCCATCTAAATTTTTACAGTATAGTTTAGTAATGTTGATACATTCACATTGTTGTGCAGCTGATCTCCAGAGCTCTTCATTTTGCATAACTGTTACTCTGTACTCATTAAGTTACTCCTCATTCTCTCCTTCATTCAGCCCCTGGCACCCGTCATTCTGCCGTCTGTCTCTATGAACTTGACTACTGTGGGTACCTTATACAAATGCAATCATACACTATTTGTCCTTTTATGACTGGCTTTTTTCACTTTTCGTGATGTTTTCAAGGTTCATCCATGATGCAGCAGGTTTCAGAATTTTCTTCCTTTTTAAGGCTGAGAATATTAAAATTCCGTTGTTCGTATCTGCCACATTTTATCCATCCATCTGTTGATGGAAACTTAGGTTGCTTCTTTCCTTTGTTTGTTGTGCATAACACTATAATATGAATGTGGGTGTATAAATACCTCCTAGAGACCCTGCTTTCAGTTCTTTGGATGTAGCCCCAGAAGTGGAATTCCTGGATAAGGAAGATTTTTTTTCTGTATGGTCTTGTCCTCTCTTCTGTCTATGTAGTATAGATGATTGTAGGAAACAAAATCACTGAGACAAGAGAAGGCCAGGCACAGTGGCTCATGCCTATAATCAATCCCAGCACTCTAGGAGGCTGAGGCGGGTAGATCATCTGAGGTCAGGAGTTGAAGACCAGCCTGGCCAACATGGTGAAACCCCGTCTCTAGTAAAACATACAAAAAAAAAAAAAAAAAAAAGAGCTGAGCAGGGAGGCATGCATCTGGAATCCCAACTACTCAGGAGACTGAGGCAGGAGAATAGCTTGAAGCCCGGTGGCAGGGGTTGCAGGGAGGCAACATCATGCCGCAGCACTGTTTGTTCCTAGTCTGCCTGTATTTGGCTCTATGGCGGCCTGCAAATTGAATGAAAGGGTGTCAGTTTGCCAGGAAGGCTACAGTGCAAGGCTACAGCCCATTGTGTCGCTGGAGAGTTGGCCATTTTGTGCTTAGTATCAAATAGGGGAAATATTACCCTGTTATGCTTTATTTAAAAACAAGCTTCAACTGTCTTCTCTGTTAGGACTCAGGTAGCTTGAGAGTTTAGATAAAAGAAAGGAAGAAATGAAGTGATTTTTTTATTGAAAAAAAAATAGTGTTTTGTGAAAGAGTGTTGCTTGGAAATACTGTTTTCAATCACATCTTACCATGATTATTTGCATTTATACAATTACTAGTTCATGGCCCCATGCATTTTTTTTTTTCTGGAGGCAGAGTCTTGCTCTGTTGCCCAGGCTGGAGTGTGGTGGCGTGATCTCGGCTCAGTGCAACCTCTCTGCCTCTGGGTTAAAGTGATTCTCCCACCTCAGCCTCCTGAGTAGCTGGGATTACAGGCACGTGTCACCACGCTCAGCTAATTTTTGTTTTTTAAGTAGAGACAGGGTTTCACCATCTTGTTCAGGCTGGTCTTGAACTCCTGACCTTGTGATCTGCCCAGCTTGGCCTCCCAAAGTGCTGGGATTACAGGTGTGAGCCACCGTGCCCAGACTCTCGTGCATATTTTTATAGTCGACATCATAATGTTTATACCACTATGTGACTCACATTTCACAATGCTGTGAAAATTGTATATTTTGAAGCTCTATAAAGTAAGAGGCTATAAACAAGTACCTGAACCCTACCATCTGTTTCTTATCCCTCTAGACTGTTTTCCTCCTTGTCCCTGAAGAAGTACAGGAGCTAAGCAGGATTTGCAACATGATGGGGTGAAACGAGTTAAATGTGTTGGGCTGACCTCATGATGGCGCTTGTGATGCCTCACCTCCCTGTGGGGTTCATGTCTCACCTCTGTCATGCTCAGCAGCAGTTACAGTTTTGTTTTGTATCTTAAGGAATTTTGCAGCTGGAAAGACCTTGAGAGGTAAAGTTATCCAACCTCTTACTTTATGGATTAGAAACTTAGAACTCAGATATCCTCATTCTAGTCCAGTGGCCTTTCCACCACCCCTTGCAGCGTCTGCAGCTCTGAGCTACAGTTGGACTGTGAACAGCCTTTCTGTCATTGGTGAAGATTTACAAGTGCTTGTTACCCTTACTTTGACTTTTTGTGCCTGTGACTTAAGCTTACTTAATAGCTCTTTTTTCTCTCAAGTGACTCATCCAGGTTGGGCATAGTGGCTCACGCCTGTGATCCCAACACTTTGGGAGGCCTAGGCAGGTGGATCACTTGAGCCCAGGAGTTCAAGACCAGCCGGGGCAACATATTGAGACCCATTCTCTACAAATAATACAAAAGTTAACTGGGTTTAGTGGCATGTGTCTGTAGTCCCAGCTATTCGGGAGGCTGAGGTGGGAGGATTGCTTGAGCCCAGGAGGTTGAGGCTGCAGTGAGTTGAGATTGCACCATTGCACTACAGCTTGAATGACAGAGTGAGACCCTATCTCAGAATAGAAAAAGGGACTCACCCATCGAAACTTCTAGATAAATTATCAGACTTTATCAAACTCATGGCCTGGAGTGTGTGTGTGTGTGTGTGTGTGTGTGTGTGTGTGTGTGAGAGAGAGAGAGAGAGAGAGACAGAGAGAGAGACAGAGAGAGAGAGAGAGAGAGAGACAGAATCTCCTTCTGTCGCTTAGCCTGCAGTGAGGTGGAGTGATCTTGTCTCACTGCAACCTCCACCTCCCAAATTCAAGTGATTCTCCCACATCAGCCTCCCAAGTTGCTGGGATTTCAAGTGTGCGCCCCCATGTGCAGCTAATTTTTGTATTTTTAGTAGAGACAGAGTTTCACCATGTTGCCCAGGCTGGTCTTGAGCTCCTGAGCTCAAATGATCTACCTGCCTCAGCCTCACAAAGTGCTGGGATTACAGGTGTGAGTCACTGCACCTGGCCCTGAATTTTTTTTTTTTTTTAAATTTCTTCACCACACCATAATTCTATGTTTTAGATTCTCTCTTGTCGTTGGTTACTGGTTCTATAACTGATGCCCTTTATGGCCATGATTTTATGATTTTTTTTTAGGAACTAGAGATCTATATTCTACAAAGTACCAATGTGTCTCCTGCCAGATGATAGATACTGCTTGGATTTGAATATAATCCACATATTTGGGGATAGGTGATAAATTTTCATAATCTGGGCCTGGGCCGGGCACAGTGGCCCATACCTGTAATCCCAGCACTTTGGGAGGCTTAGGCAGGAGGATCACTTGAGCCCAGGAGGTTGAGACCAGCCTGGGTAACATAGCAAGACCCCATCGCAACAAGAGTGAAACTCCATCTCAAAGAAAAGAAGAAGACACGAACTCTCAGTATCAGAACCGAAAGAGGGGACGTGCTACAGATCCTACAGACACTAGAGGGTGATAAGAGAGTATACAACAACTTTTTGCCAATAAATTTTGCAACATAGATGAAACAAATGCCTTCAAAAAACACCAACTACCCAGGCTTAGTCTACAAGAAATAGATAACTTGAATAGCTCTTTTTTTGAGATAAGAGTCTTGCTCTGTTGCCCAAGGCTGGAGTGCAGTGGCATGATCTCAGCTCACTGCCACCTCTGCCTCTCGGGTTGAAGCTCTTTCCTGCCTCAGCCTCCCAAGTAGCTAAG